AGCTGCAGGCACACCAGAGTCGTATAGAGTGGCAGTAATACATCTCTCGATCTAGAAGCCACATTGGTTTGCCATGATTCACAGAGGCAAAGTATTATTTAAAAGATGATTAAAATGAAGCTATGCTCCTGGTCAAGAAAGTCCTCACTCACATGCAGCCTGACAAAGAAGAGCTTTTGGCTTACATGTCCTCTCTCCTGCTGCTGCCATTTGTGTCTTTCTGCCTGAGGTTTTTCTCTTTTTGTGGAGTCCAGCACCTGTCTCTCCCTTGGCCACACACGCCTTTTCCCTAATAGGGGTATCCTTAGGGGATGGGGGCCTATAAACACACACACACACACACACACACACACACACACACACAGAGAGAGAGCGAGAGCGAGAGCGAGAGCGAGAGAGAGCGAGAGCGAGAGAGAGCGAGAGAGAGCGAGAGCGAGAGCGAGAGCGAGAGCGAGAGAGAGAGAGAGAGAGAGAGAGAGAGAGAGAGACTTCAGAAGTAAATTAGCACGTATGCATTTGTGCTTGCTGGCTTGCTGGCTTGCAGCTGTTGCTCCTGGACCCTGAATCTTTTGGGTAGGACTTAAGCATCACACCTCACCTCCCTGCACCAAATTTTGCAGCAAAGTTTGCCCAGAGCTCAACAGAATCTGGCCTGCTTGGAGAGCCACTGGCTTGGAAATCACAAATAGGCCGCCTTTTCTGAAATATTATTTCATTGTCTGAACCAGGACTGGTATACAGGAGGTTCTGGGTCCTCATTCCTGTCATTGCAAACCCTTCTAGCAATAAAACCGTCCCCACGGGGATGCAGATGCTGTAACGGCTGGTGCTGTGTGTTCCTCCCCCACAGGTGGCCAAAATCTGCTTGGAACATTTTGGCAACAACCAGAAATGGTGACCCTGTTAGACTGCCTTGTGGCAAACTGGCCGCAAAGTAAAAGGGGTTTGCGGCTCTGGTTTCTAGTCCTCATGACTGCGTACACAAGAATTCACTTGGAAATGGCCGGCCACACCTGCAGCATTAAGGCGCCACTCAGTGTGCCGCTCTGCAGTCTTCGGGATGCCTGCCTGCATCACCGCAAAGGGATTATAGGCAAGAGGAGTTTCTCAGCCAGGCCGTGTGTGCAGCTAATCTCCCCAGACGTGTGTGTAATCAGGCATTTATGTGGAGGTGTTGGGGGCAGGGTGGGGAAAGGCTCTCGCCTTCACTCGAGTCCCCCAGCCTCTTCTCCGCCAGCACCAAGTGGCCTACTTTGCAGCCTGAGGTCAAAGCAGATTAATGAAGGAGCTGCATTAATGCCTCCCCGCCCTGTCCGTGGTGCACGGATGTGGGAGCCAATAAAACCCAGAGCTTCCATGGCAATCAGCTTTGGGCCGTGTTCCAGCAGAAAGCGTCCTCTGCCACCAACCAATTCAGGCAGAAAGCCCTTCGAAAGGGGCTTAACACCAGCTTCTCAAATGCTCAATGCTCGGATCAGAATTAAGTCTCTAATTCTGGAAGGTAAGTACCGCATGGATCAGCGGGAGCGTGCGACTTCTTCCGGCGTGGATGCTGCCAGAGTAGAATCCTTTGAGCCATGCTGGACCCTTGTGTGTGGACCAGAAAGAGAGAATGGCGTCTCCCCAGCGGATGAGACGCCAGCTTGCATGTCATTTGCGTTTGAGTATTTAGACGCAGGTGAGAGAGACGCGTGTGGCGTAGAGGCCAGAGAGATGGACTGGGATTCCAAAGGCCCAGGCTGCAGTTCCCCCTTGGCCATGAAGTTCGCTGGGTGACTTCGGGCCAGACTCTGACTCTCAGCCTAAGCTACCTCACAGGGTTGTTGTGAGAAGAAAATGGAAAGCAGGAGGTTTATGTAAGCTGCCTTGGTGGGATCTAATACTTAATTATAAAGGTGCAAATTCGGAAAGAATAATTAACATTGAAGTAGAAATATGGGACCAGGCTGGTCATTGGAAGAAACTGGCCAACTTCTTCTGGGCCTACGTACTTCAGTCTGTTTTCCTGGTGCTCACTCTGAATGAAGCACATCAACTACCCCTGACCCCCCCCCCCCCGTGGCCCTCCTCGCTCCTGCTTTCCGCTCTTGTGCCTCTTTGACTACACACCAGACATTAGCCATCTCAAGCAGAGGAGAAGCTTTGCACAGAGGCTGCCAGCCCTCCAGTGCAGAGGACTGTCCTCTGCAGAGGAGGACACTTGGCCACCTGATAATGCAGGCAATGCGAATGATAGTTTTTGCATTGGCATGATAGGCCATGCCCGCTGCCTTTCCACTTCCCCGATTCCCTCTAGCTAGAGGGTCCTGCCAGTTCCGTTGCAGAAGTGGGACCCCTCTGTCACGCAAGGGGGATTCCACCCTTTCCAGGAGAAGCCCCAAAACAAGCGGGAACTGGTGTTTCTGGGAAGAGGCGGGAAAGATGAGCAGTGTGACATGCACGTCACAGATCTCTGTCCTTCCAGAAACACGGCTTCCACTTTTTTCAGGGTTCCCTGGAAGCTCTCAACCAGTGGGGGCCATTTGCATGGCAAAATTCTTGGGGTGTGAGAGAATCAGCAGGTCTGTCACTTCCCTGTAGAAATGCACAGATACTGTTGTATAACACAGAGTCCTCTTTTTTGCAGGGGGTGGCAATCTCTCCGTTTGTGCTGCCGCCTCTTCCTGCTTCTCCCAGTTCCAGCGTAACACATAAGCCCCAAACATACGGGGGGGGGGGGATTGTGCGTGAGTGCTTTTCCGGCTGCCCCCAAAGAGGACCGAGGAAGTGTGATGGAGGTATATCAAGAGGGCGAAGTAAAAGCATCTACCGTGGCCCTCACCTTCCAAGCACTGCAATAATGTAATCATGCACAGTTTATGCAGCATGAAATTGTCCAAATCTTTCCAGGAAGGTCTACCCATAGCGGCACAAAAAGCTTGGGGAGACGTTCTGTGCAATGCACAGGAGGAAAATTGGAAAGACAGGGAAAGTGCACCGGGGAAGCGAGAGAAGACCATTCCCTCCCTTTCTCAAGATGTAAGAACAACACGTCACTTCGTCACTTCGTGCAGCTGCACTTCCGAGCTTTGCACTCAGCACATGCTCACTGGTAGAATTAACGGCTGCCTGAGTGGACTGAAGTGCTGTTGGAAGCCCAGGATGTATTGGCATAGTTCAGTTCTATCCCAAGTGAAAAATACTGCTCCTGAAGATGAACCTCCATCTGTGGATCGGAGGCCATGCGCCTGGGTTGAACCAGAAGGAAATGAAGGGAAGATGCGCATCCGGTCTCTCATTATCTGGACGCCCATCCTGCAAATGAGAGAGCTGACTCGTTCTGTGTGGCTCCAAAGAGCGGGACAGAATGGAAGCATTGCTGTGGCAAGCAGGCAGAGGCGTTCAGAGAAGCTTGCGCCAACAGCTGCCCAACAGGGTAAAAGGAGGGGCTTTGCAAGCTTAAGTAAGGGGTGGGCGGCATCCATCGGGGAGGTTGAAATTGCAGGGGAGAAGATGCCCCCTGTGTTGGTGGGGCTCCTGATCCATGGCAGCTTTTCTTCTGAGCTCGCTCATGGCTATGGTGGAACTCCATTCCCAAAATGCATTCATATCACTGCCATGGATTGCTCCTAGGGAGCCCAGAAGAAAAGCTGCAAAGGGGAAGGAGGGGAACCCCTTCTAGCAACATGGAGGTAGTCATACTGACCCCCACATTATGGGACTATTTTAAGACAGGTGTGATGGGGAAACTGGTGACTGCTAAGCCAGTGGGGCTCCTGAGCTTACCTGTGGTACTCAACTCCATGCCCAACATCTGTTCACCAACATGGGACCTGGAGAACCTCTCAGAAGCGATGGGAAAGCAGGGGAACGAGCTTGGAGTCACCACTCCTCTGTGTAGCTGCGTCTCACCCTGAAGTTCCCAGGGGATGGGCTAGAGCCTCTCCAGGGACCCACCCAGGTCTAAGGCCCAATATTAGGAAGGAGACAAATGCAGAAGCATGCCCACTCCTCACCAGCTTGCTCTCCGCTTCCTACAACGGGTGGGTTCGCAAGAGTTAATCCCCGGTTTTTGCCAGAAGGGCAAAGTAATGGTGAGCTTAAGCTGGACTAGGATCTGAACGTCCGTCCAGTGGGCCCAGGCTGGCTCCAGCAGCTGGGGGCCCTCGGGGAGTGTGTCCTCCCGGCACCGTGGCCACCAGCTGCTCTTGCTCCTGCCCGTCCGCATCCTGGCTCCACTCGCTTGTTTGCACGGAGCCCCCACGGGGCAGAGGGCGCATGGCCTCTCCTCTCCTCTCTCTTGCCACCAGCATTGCCTGGGCCCAAGCAAGAGGCCTGGGAACAACAGGCTGCAGCGGGGAAGAAGAGCAGCGAGTTCAAGGGCCTCGGGCCGTGAGCCCTTGGCAGGTGCCCGTCACATCCGCCCTTGGTGCAGGCGCTGCAGGCCTGCATGCATTATAATCTGACCCCTTCTTTTCCTTGCCCCTCTTCCCTGTCCATTTCAACGTTGGCTTGGCCCAATTGGCAGGACATGGGATGGAGAGAGACCAAAAGTGAGCGAGTCTGGGCACCGGCTCTGGCGCTGTCCCCGTGCTGAACTCCCTCCAGGGGCCGGGGAGGCTTCAGCACCACGGAGAGCCGCCAAACCTTTCCCGCTGCCCTAGAGGTGAGGGGCTGGGGACCTCCACTTCACAGCACGCATCCTCCAGCATCACCCCGGAGCCAGCCTCTCGCTTCGATCCCCCGCTCCTTGTGACAAGCAGCCCTTTCGGCGTTCCCAGCACTAAGCCCCTTGGAGTGATTTTGTAATTAGCCACTTTAAAGGGTTGTAAGGAATGTATGTTTTCCCCTCGTACCTGGTAAGCAGTGCTGTTGCTCTTCTGGCTAAATCACAGCTGCAGCGAGCAAAAGCAGAGGTAGGGATAAAGCAGTGAGAGAATTACTCCCATGAAGCAGCGTGCTGTGTGCCCCCCCCCCGCCGTTCCTGCTTATCCATTCGGTGCCAATTTGTGTCTCTCCAGGTCTTTCAGCGGCGCGAGGACGGCTCTGTGAATTTCTTCCGTGGATGGGAAGCTTACCGGGATGGATTTGGGAAGCTCACTGGAGAACACTGGTTAGGTAGGAGTCCCTTGGCTTGGGAGGGAGGTGTGTATTTGGGACAAAAGCAGGATTCCACATATCACATGAGCAGAATGGCAGGATCGGGCCACGGCTTGCTGCAAAGGTGAGGCAGCCTGAGTCTAGGGAAGAACGGGAAAGTCTGACGCACAGATGTTGCTGGAGATCTGTAGCCTAGAACCTACAAAGGCAGACAAAAGGAAGGCCTTCCTCATGCGATGCAGGGTGGAATTCACAAACCACCAACCTGGATGGATTTAAATGGAGGAAAAGAAGGCTACCAGTGCTACTAGTCCTCATGGTCATATAACTCCAACACTGGAGAGAGTATGCTTATGTATTCTGGTTGCTGGGGAACGTGGGCAAGGGGGTGCTGCTCATATCCAACTTGTTGGGTGTGGGGGAAATGTCAGTGGATTGCACCAGTCCAGAATCCCGGCCGTCTCCACCCCTTTGTGTCCCACCGGGGTTGCCTCAGTCGCCAGCGAGTGGCCCAGTCTGCAGACTGGGGATTTGTTTGGCTTGGACGCTTCCCGGCAAGAGGCTGCTGTTTATTCCAGACTGTGATGCTGGGCCCACTTGCTGGGCCATAACACAAAAAGGGTTCTTATGTTTCCCACGCTAGGGCTGAAGCGGATCCACGCCCTGACCACACAAGCCAACTACGAGCTGCGCATCGATCTGGAAGACTTCGATAACGGCACGGCCTTTGCCCATTATGGAACCTTTTCCGTGGGTTTGTTTTCGGTTGACCCCGAGGAGGACGGCTACCCAGTTGCCGTTGCCGACTATTCTGGGACAGCAGGTATATCGTGGGTGGGGGCTGTGTGTGCGTGTTTGGAAATGTAGGGCAGATTTTTCAAGCCTGCCTCCACCGTGCTATCGCGCCGAAGGAAGGGAAAGGGGACCATTAGCTCTGTGCACAAGGAAAGGCACATTATATCCAGAGCAGCACCCATGCTAATAGCATTGAAATAATTTGGCCTGTCAGAATGGCAAATTTCCACTTCAAAACATCCACTCAGGATTGAAATTTCATGTCAGAAATTGACATTCCACCCTACGTTAAGAACATTTCAGTCGGAACGTCCAATTTGTGAGAAAGAAGGTGAATGCCAGCAGTCTGCATCTGACTCAGGAACAAATATTTCAGTATTCCTGGCAGGAAAACAGAACTGTTTCAATTTAAATGATAGGACCCTTAAAAAGTAATTTGAGACTGACTGTGCTGCTTGTTTCTCTCTCCTTACCAAAACACTCTTGGATTTGTCGGCCCAGTGCATGCTGAAATGTTGGCAGCCTTCCAGAGGCACACACTTCAGGGGTCGGGAACCTTAAGTGGAGACATGCAACCTGGGGGTGGGCCGTCATCTGGTGAGCTCTCCAGGAATCCATGTGCCCACGGGCCTGGCAGGATGCAGATGCGCTATGGAGGCGAAGGTCTGGTTCTCTGGCAGGGCGGTTTCATCCACCCTGGGCCCCCGTCCCCCTTTCGTCCCCCTTGGGCTCAATGTTGGCCTTCCCTTCCCAAGTCTCAGCAGGGACCGAGGATCCTCCTCCTACCAAAGTGCCGTCAAGGCCTGTGGGAACAGATTTTGAGGAGGGCTCAGGATCAGCAGTTACATAGAAACATAGAAACAGAGCGAGTCAGAAGGGGTCTCCTGGGCCATCTAGTCTGACCCCCGGCTCCAGCCAGCTCCGCTCACGACATGCCCACCATGTGGACGTCCAGCCTGTCCTTGAACACCTGCACCGATGGGGCCTCAACGACCTCTCGTGGAAGCCCATTCCACACCCTCGGGGTCCTGACTGTCAGGAAGTGCTTCCTGGCACCCAGATTGAACCTTGGCTCCCTGAGCTTGGCTCCATTGGAGCATGTCCTGCCCTCCTCTGCAGGGGAGAACAGGCCTCTACCCGCCTCTGTGTGGCACCAATTGAAGCCCCAAGGCCAGCAGAGGGAAGCCAGGCTGTCACTGAGAACCACACATGGTGGGAAAGTTTGGTGAAGAGAAGGGTGGACTTTGCATTACGGCCACCAGGGTGCAAGATCAGCTGGTGCAGGGTCCAGTCCAGTCCAGAAGCAGCGGATGCTCCGGGCGATTGGTCCTTGTGTGAGGGGCCCTGCCCTGATGGAGCTGGCTCATTCCCGCTGGACAGGAAGGAGAGGCGCTCGGTTTGGGAGGCCAGGAGCCTCCTGATGCTGACCTGGAGGCCCCAGGGTTCGTCTCCTCCTGTCCTCTGTGACTCGGGCCATTCTGGAGAAGGGACGGCTTCCTCTAAACGAGGCCACCTCTGCAGCCCAGCCCACAGCGCCTGCTGACCCACATGCTTCTCCTGCAGGAGACTCCTTCCTGAAGCACAGCGGCATGAAGTTCACCACCAAGGACCTGGACAACGACCACTCGGAGAACAACTGTGCCGCCTTCTACCACGGTGCCTGGTGGTACCGCAACTGCCACACCTCCAACCTGAACGGCCAGTACCTCAAGGGCCACCACAGTTCCTACGCCGACGGAGTGGAGTGGTCCTCCTGGACGGGCTGGCAGTATTCCCTCAAGTTCACGGAGATGAAGATCCGGCCTGTGAGAGATGATAATTAGCCGACCCACAATGCCCCCCCGTCCCCCCTCTTTCGCCCACCCCCTATCCCTCTAGCTCAGCGTCTGAGTCTGGGGCAATGGGAGCTGAGCAACCCCCTTCCCGCCACTGAGGGACAAAGACTCGCAAAGCTCCCCCTCCCCACCCCCACGTGCACAATTGGTCTCTGGCTACGGTGCGAGTTGAACTGCCTTCCTTGATCCCAAGCCACCAGGGGATGCCGAGCCGGCAGCCCTCCCATACAAACACGAGCAAGTCAGCCTGGGAAGGATTTCCCAGGCATGTAAGGGGGCTGCAGTACACCTTTTTGCCCATCCTGGTAGCTTTAAAAAAACAAACAAAAGAAAAGTGTTGCTATCCAAAGACATTCCCGAAGATGAGTGTGTTTCGTTCTGGTGCAAGCACATCCAACGACATGTGTCCCTCCCCACCTGGACTGTTTACAAGCAGCACCGCAATCCTGAGCTGAGGTGAAGACGGAGACTGGCAGCTGGGCTGAGCCCGCCCCAAGGAAGGAAGGCCTGATGTCGGGGTTCGGAAGCCTACCTGGACCGGCAAGGCTGGAAAGAGATGCCCGAGGGGAAAACCTTCCTGGGAAGAGATGCTGCATGGCCCCATCTGAGGGTGCTTGGCTACCATTCAGTGCAAAATGTGCCTTCCCAGAGCACGTCTTGTTGCTGCTGAAGGCTGGGAAATGCCTTGGGCAGTGCTCGGGAGATGGAGAAGCCCGCTAGCCCTGCTGGGGGGGGTACAGTTTCTGCCCTGGCATGAGGAGCAGCAAGGATCCTTGCAGCAAGAGCAAATCTGCCTTCTGTGCAGATATTGCTGGCCAGGAGAATTCAAGGGTGGGGCGAGGAGCCTCTCCTTCCCTCGGGGACAAGGAAGGGGTTCAGCAAGCAGAGTGGCTGAGCTGGCGGTTATTAAGAAAACATCACTGGAAACGGGGAAGAAGAGTCCCAAGCAAAGATACATCTGTACCCCCCGCCCCCCAAACACCAAGCTCCTACGGAAGGGATTCTTCCCAAGGTCTCTCCCATTTTCCCAAAAGATGCAAAGCTCACCACTGCCTCTGAACAGCCTGTTTCTCTTAGGAGGGGGAGAACTGGGGCAAAATTATGGGCTGTGGGTGCAGCAGCTGAAAATTCAGGGCACTCTTTGCACCCAGAGCTTACCGCTGCTCTGCCACCCCTGCAGACACCCTCCCTCTCTTTCCTTCAGCCTCTCACCTCCAGCTACCGGTTTATGTCCCATTTGCTGGCCAGGTTTCTCTCTCCATTCTGCCAAGAAACCGAAAGGCAGCTTACAAAACCCTTTCCGTCCTCTCCACAACCTCCTGTGAGGTTGGCTAGGCCGAAATCCTGGAGCTGGTCCAAAATCGTACAGTGGATTCCATGTGGCTGAGTGCAGCCCCCCCCCCCCACAGCCTAGCCCAGGCGCTGCACCACCCCGGTGCCCAGTCTGGCCCTGACCAAACCCCACTTCTGTGGCAGCCGTTCCGTGTGCGTTCCGTGTCCCTTGGTGAATGGCTCTTTGCTGCAGTGTGACTGGGCCACTGGAAGTGGCTTTCCATGGCTCCTCTTTGCTCTGTTCAGGGCTCCCCAGCCCCTGCTTCACACGCCACGGTCACAGGCGGACTGGCGCACTGAGAACATGCACAGACACGTGGCGGAACAGCCACGCCGCTGTCCGCTGGTGACCCGGCCGCTTTGCACGCCCCAAGTGCCGGCTTCGGGCCCCAGCACGGCTCATCGAGAACGAGTCACGCGGGTGCAAGTGCGTCTTCGGTCAGCGGGGCCCTTGCTGCTTGCAGCTGTAATGCTGAGCGCCACCAGGGCCGTCCATGGCATGGAACCCGGTCCTTAAAGTCGTGGGAGGCCATGGAGAGCTCCTCTCAGCCTCAGAATAATGGCCGCACTGATTCAGAGGACGCCCTTGACCTGGGGGTCACAGCCCCACATACCTGGAAAGGGCCTTTTCTTCCCCAGAGCTCCCTGCAGAGCTGCCATCATCGCGTGCCGTGCTGGCCTGGCTGGACCGAAGAGCCAACCCTGGGACCAGGTTCAGACAACAGGATGACCCGAACTCAACGGTGAAGTGCAGGTGACGTGCAGGCTAGCACTGCGCTGCGGGTTGCATTGCGGGTTATTGTATTGTCTGAATCCAGCTGAGAGGACAAACCATGGTGCGTGACTCAACAACAAGCCACGGCTTGTTTGCGAAGAACATGCCACGGCTTCTGCGTGCAGTGAGGTTCGGGTGCCAGGGTGACGTTTCAGCAGCTGCGCTCACTGAACCCCTACGGAGCCCTTGCGTGTGCTGGAAGCCAGTCACTAACCTGGGACCCCAGACCACGCTCCAGCAACTGCTGCCGTCTTGTGAGGCAGGTCAGCCTTCTCCAACCTGTTTCTCTCCAGAGGTGTGGGATGGCAACACCCACCATCCCCGGCTAGCATGAGCAAGGGCTAGGAATTCTGAAAGCTGCAACCCCACATATCTGGAGGGAGACTGGTGGGAAGGCGAGGCTAATCCGTACCTTCCTTCTGCCTGGGGGACACGGGCAGCCAAGCTCCCTGGCTCCACCATCTTCTCTGGAGCACGGAAGGGAGAAGGCTCCCTGGCTCCACCATCTTCTCCCAGCAGCCGGAGCCTGCGCTTGCTGCCCAGGTGGCTCATGGCGCCCGCTGCTGCTCACATCCCTGCCCTGCTCCATCTCCATGCTGTGCTCTTCGGCATGGAGCTCTTTTACGACACACTCTGCTTGCAAGAACAGACGGCCAGAATCGCTGGAGCCGGGTGACGGGGCGCTGCCACTCCGGACCGTTCCGGGATGGACTCCTGAGGGCTCAGCGTCATCCCTGCAGCGGACATGGAACTGTTCTCTCATCCTCAGCAAGGAATGCTGCTGGACCCCCTGGACGGACCCATCGGTGTGGGACAGACCGGGGGCTTTGTGAAGGGGGGGTGTGGAGAGTGCACAGCTCTGGAGCAGGCGCGTTCCAGCAAGCCCCCACAGTTGCTGTGGGGGGCGCCCATTATGCCTTGCCCATGGTGTCATCTACATGGCGTCCTGACGAGGGCATTGCGCCTCCTCTTCACCTTGGCAACCTGCTCGCTCCCTGGCCTTTCACTCTAGCCCAGACGGCGCCGGTGGTGCTGAGGCAGTGGAGCAGCCAGAGAGGCCGAGGCCAGCTGGCTCGGCCAGCAAGGGGGGGGGAGGCTGTGACAAGGAAGAGCAGCTGGGGTGAGAACAGAGACTCACCAAGGGAGGGGGGCCTTCGGAAAGGTCTTCCCAGGGGCCCTCCAACGCCTGGAGCTGGCATGAGAAGACGGGGTGGCCTCAGCCTCCATCTCTGGGGAGATGCAGGGGCCAAGCTGTGGTGTAGTGGAGTCGGGGCTGGTGGGGGGGGGGGGGGGACGGGGGTTTTTTTTGAAAGGGGGGGGCGGGGCCCCCGGGCCCTCCCCTTGGGATTTTTTGCAACAGCTGTGGGGGGGGGGGGATGAGCTGTTTTTTTTCTAGTGATGCTATACTGATTCCTAGTGTAATCCAAAGTATTTGGGGTTGGCTTGGTTCAGAAGGGACTTAAGAAAAGACCTGGTTTAGCAATATGGAACTGTGTGGCCACTGGCTTGCAGAATTGGTCACCGCACCCCAGGCAGTGACATCCCCCCGTCTCCAGGCTTCTGTGGCATCCTTCAGCCAAGGGACAGAAGGCCGGTGGCTTATGTCCCTCAGAGATCAGCCTTGCAAGGAAAAGATGCTCCAAGCTCCTCATTCCGTCCAATCCCATTAAGGTCTCGAAGAAGCAATCAAGGAGGGCTTATTGCAGGTCACTGATAAGTTCAGGAGAGCTGCTTCCCCAGCTGAGTCGCTGCTACACGCTTGCCAAAAGCTTGAGTCCCGTCCCCCCACCTCTCTCTCTTGCACAGGCCTCTTGCCATAAATGATGTAGAAATATGATTGCCAAAAAGGTCTTAAGGACATGCCATGGTCCCAGCTGCAGTGCTTGGCTTGTAAAAGCGGCCACTGGTTCTCCTGCCCCCCTGCCAGGGAGATAGCTAGGGAACGAACCTGTCCCCAGTCAAGCCCAGATGTTCAAAACTGGGATGCTTGCCCAGGTTTGCTGGGACCAGTTCCCCCTCCAGCTTGCCTCTGATCCTGTGGAAAACATACCTAGCAGGTAGAGGGGGCTGCAGAGCACAGGGAGGGGATAGGAAAGAGGGTCTACCATGGGAAAGGTGGGCCCTCGGGGCATGTGGCAATCCATTGTCCTGGGACAGGAAAACAGCTTCAATCCAAGTGCCACCAGCTTTCTCCCGAACACAAACGCCTCAAGAAGGGCCATGCAGGTGGGAATTGCAAGGAAAACGCAGCAGAGTTTTCCATTCCAGCATTTCAAGAAAACATCTCTGCCAAAAGTGCGGGTGAGGTGGCTTCCAATAGTGGTGACACGGGCCAGTGTGAAATGCTGAAGTGCTTTGGAAGGATAAATCTCAGGTAAAATTTCCATGCAATCTTGACAGAAGCAAAGATTAGCAAGGTCTCCCTGCTTTGGACCTCAGTCTGAGTTTCCGGGCTAGAAGGAAGGCAACTGACCGCCTCCGGGGCATGGCTGAGCCCGTGAATCAATCCCCTCTACCGATCCAGTGCCAACCGTAGGGGTCCCAGCATTAGGAACTCTCATTTAATGACAAACGTCAAATAAAAAGAGTCATAACTTAAATGCACCGTCCAGCAGCATAAAGAAAGCCACGAGTTCTCCACTCCACTGTCCGAGTGAATTTGTTTCCACTGCTCCAGAAGGAGGGCTGGAAGCAAGCGAGCAAGCAGTTCTGGGATGCGTGCGGAGATTAGTCCTCTGAGACTTCAAGGGCCCGTCTGTTTCCTAGGCTTGGTGCTCTCCTTACGAGGCCTCTGGCGCAGACTCGTCTTTTGAGAAGGCAAGGCTGGGAATTCCATTTTGTTTCAGCCGGTTGGACTCCCACATTGGACAGGCAGCTGCAG